CACAGTTTGGCCAAAAATTAGACGACATGTTTGCCGCTAACGTTAAATCAGCCACTGTTTTGACACAATTATCTGTCGAGCATTTGACCAAAACTAATGGCAATATTATCAACATTTCAAGCATTTCCGCAACTCTCGCAGTAATTAAATTTTAAAAATTTTTAATAAAATTTATTTATTTTATAACTTTACATTATTTCAAAAAGTAACATTAATAATAATATTTAATTTCATTAAACAGACACCTAACTTGTCGGGGTATTGTATGACGAAAAGTGCCCTGGATATGTTTACAAAGTGTGCGGCTGTCGAGTTAGGGCCTAAAGGCATTCGAGTTAATACAGTGAGGTTTGTGTTTGCAATTAATACCTAACTTGTAATTTGATTTTATTGTGAAACTAATTGTAATACAATTAAACCCAATGAAAGCCCGGGCGCTGTGCGGACAACAGCGCGCGCAACACGTGGTGAAGCGCCCGAAGACACCGATAGGTTTTATCAGAGAGTGAGCGATAGATATCCAGTGGGCAGACATGGAGTACCCGATGACATGGCTAATGCTATCATGTATTTGGCGAGTGACCATGCACAGTTTATCACCGGTACTATACTGGTGGCCGATGGCGGTCATTTAGCCGGCAACGTTGATTTGAAATGAGATTTAATTTTTAATAAATGTTTGGCTGCATTAAACCTTATAACCCTATTTACAATAACATGTCTGTTTAATGTACCGGTATAATTGTTAATTTTTATAATTATTAAGTTATTTTAACGACTATTTAGCATTAATAAGTAAATTAATAAAATTGCTGTTAACCAATTTTACTGTCACTAGTAAGTTACTACACATATCACCATGTTTTCTATGGCAAACTAAACTAAACGTTATATTTGAAGTGAACAAAATTGTTGAATAAAATGACACTTTAAATTCATAGCAAAATCGATGTAATGCTCTATTAGACTGTATCACACTTTTCGGATTAACTGGTATTTCATATATGAGAGACATCCAGAGGCAAGTGATCGACATTTACTACAATATGTGTTACTATTAAGTGAATGAAACGATGGATGAGTTGGGAGAGTGGGATGGTCTGGTAGTTGTGTTTTGAGTCGCCGATCAATATTCGCCTATCGCTAGCAAAACACTCACACTTTTTGAGCACTCGTACTATCATAGAAAGCATGTCCACAAAACACCGCAGTAATTAAATTTTAAAAAT